AGCCAGCCAGCCATGAAATTAAGTAGTATTTAAAGTAGCATTTATGATTTAGCATCAAAGTAAGTCATAAATACAGTATGATGTCATTTATATAAAGTCTTTAAAACATGCAAAGCAACACTGTATATTGTTTAGGGATACATACATAGAAAATGTAAAAACAAAAATGAGGGTGAAAAATGCCAGATTCAATAAAATGGTTTCCTAGGAAGGGTTGTGCTGGGGTTTCAACTCCATAGTGTCTTATTTCTTTTCTTTTTTTTGGCTGTGCCACGCAGCATGTGGGACCTTAGTTCCCTGACCAGGGATCAAACCCACGTCCCCTGCATTGGAAGCGCAGAGTCTTAACCACTGAACCGCCAGGGAAGTCCAATAATGTCTTATTTCTTATGTAGGTGTTAAGCACCTACCTGGGTGTACCCTATATTATGGTCTAAATCTAGTTTATTTTAAAAAATAGCTTATTTTTTTTAAAGCAATATAAGCCCTGATGTCTGCATTTTAGGGAATCAGAGAAGGAATGGGTTAGTGGATGCTCAGAGAAGGTCTTATGGGGCAGTGGGTGTAGAATTTGAAGGAATTTTTTAGGACAGATAAGATTTTGAAAATGGAGTAGGCAGAAGAGCCCAGTTTAGTATTTAAGGTGTTTTTGGAAGGTGGAGTGGAGACCAGCCTGCTCTAGAGTTGAGTTTGGGTTTGGGAGGAGTGGATGGTACAGGTTGATAGGTGAATTATACATGCCAGGAAATTGAGCACCTTAATCACCAGGATCTTTCTGTCTGTCTTCATTTAGTCTTTGGATGGTAATTGATGCCTTTGGCTTTTAAACCTGCACAATTAGGATTGTTTTTTTTCTGCATGGATTACTGGCAGGTGGTAATACTCATTTATGGAGAGAACCTAAGGATTCTCTCATATTTTTCTACTCAGTCACCCAACCCAACTTACCCATTGAAATCTTCCTGCAAAGTTTATTCTCTGATCTTTATATTTTACTAACATAGAAGCTTATGGACTTGGAGAGTTCAGGTGTACTCAGAGTATTTGCAAACATTAAAGTAGAAATCAATGTCCCTTTGGGTTTTCTAGTTTGTTTGTGCTTTTTGTTTTGTCTAAGCTTTCTCTCTCTAAGCCAAACTTTCCTGTATTCTTTAATCCCTCATATTTTCTCTCTTCTTTTCCTCTGCCTAGGATACTCTATAAATACATTCAAGTAGTACTGTTTGTATTTCTGTGGTCCTACATGTGATGGTTAATTTACAAATTACTTAACCTTCCAGAGAATTTAGGGAGTAGGGATTCTTACAACTAAAAACGTCAGGGACATAGTCATAACTGAAGATTGTACACAAGAATATTCCCTTTGGGGAACCTCTTGCACTGTTGGTGGGAATGTAAATTGATACAGCCACTGTGGAGAACAGTTTGGAGGTTCCGTAAAAAACTAAAAATAGAACTACCATACAACCCAGCAATCCCACTACTGGGCATATACCCCGAGAAAACCATAATTCAAAAAGAGTCGTGTACCACAATGTTCATTGCAGCTCTATTTACAATAGTCAGGACATGGAAGCAACGTAAGTGTCCATCGACAGATGAATGGATAAAAAAGATGTTGCACATATATACAATGGAATATTACTAAGCCATAAAAGGGAACGAAATTGAGTTATTTGTACTGAGGTGGATGGACCTAGAGTTTGTCATACAGAGTGAAGTTAGTCAGAAAGAGAAAAACAAATACCGCGTGCTAACACAATAAAGACGAAGACATAGGGAATGGACTTGAGAACAAGGGGAGGGGGAAGGGTAAGCTGGGAGGAAGTGAGAGAGTGGCATGGATTTATATATACTACCAAATGTAAAATAGATAGCTAGTGGGAAGCAGCCGCATAGCACAGGGAGATCAGCTCCATGTTGTGTGACCACCTAGACGGGTGGGACAGGGAGGGTGGGAGGAAGATGCAAGAGGGAGGAGATATGGGGTTATATGTATATGTATAGCTGATTCACTTTGTTATACAGCAGAAACTAACACACAATTGTAAAGCAATTATACTCCAATGAAGATGTTTAAAAAAAAAAAGAATATTCCCTTTGGAATCAGTAGAAATCAATGTGAATTGGCTACATTTTTATTTAAAAGCAACTTTAGGATCACATCTGTTATGTCAAAGTAGGTACTTGGTAAACTTGTTCTATTTTCTAAATGTTAGGTAAGGAATAAATAACAAAAATTGGAAGGAGGAAGAAAACCAACATTTCTTAAGCACTGAGTGTGTGCCAGGCAGCGTTCATCTCACTACTTGCTAGTGTTACTACCTGCAGAAATTGTGCTGAAGGGCTTTTTACACATTATCCCATTTAAACCTCCCAACCCTCTTAAGATTGCTTAATTTATTTCTTAAAAAGGTGATAATGTACACAATACTAATTCAGAAAGGTACAAAAAGGTTTGCACTGAAAACTAAGTCTCTGTCACAGGGCCCTCCAGTCATCAGTTCCACTTCCATACCACTGCTACTGGTGTCTTATGTGTTCTTTCAGAGATACACTATAAATACATAGACATGATCATATATAATTATGTGGATATATTTTATTTTAAAGATTTTTACAAAAATGGAGGTATTATTGTGCATATAATTCTGCATCTTTTTTCCTTTAAAATAAATTTATTTATTTTTGTCTGTATTGAGTCTTCGTTGCTGCATGCGGGCTTTCTCTAGCTGCGGAGAGCAAGGGCTACTCTTCATTGTGGTGCGCGGGCTTCTCATTGCAGTGTCTTCTCTTGTTGTGGAGCACAGGCTCTAGGGTGCGTGGGCTTCAGTAGTTGTGGCACATGGGCTCAGTAGTTGTGGCTCATGGGCTCAGTAGTTGTGGCTCACAGGCTCTAGAGCACAGGCTCAGTAGTTGTGGTGCCCGGGCTTAGTTGCTCCGCAGCACGTGGGATCTTCCCGGACCAGGGTTCCGACCCATGTCCCCTGCATAGGCAGGCAGATTCTCAACCACTGCACCACCAGGGAAGAGCCCTCTGCATCTTTTTTCAATGAATGTTTCATGTCAGTGGATGTAGAACTGCCTAATTCTTTTTAACAGATGTACTGTAATTTATTTAACCAGCCCCATTGACAATAATCCTTTTTCTTTTAATAGGAAAGTTCAGCCCATTTATATTTATTGGAAAGACTGATATATTTGGTTTTAGTTCTATTTTTAATATTTTCTTTTAAAAAAATCTTTCACTATCAGGACAGTACTTGCTTTGGGAGGTGGGTGTGCGTGTGTATATTCTGATGATTTGAAAGGTTTATCTTTTTATTCTAGTGATTGCATATAACTTTTTACCATATTTCTTCAGACAGTATCTATTGACTCCCTGCCATGAGTAATGATAAAATTTGTAGTTATATTTCCTGCCTCCTCCTCACTTGCTTTCAGTTGATTATATTATTTTTCTTAGTTTTATTTTATATCTTGAAACATACTTATACCTATATTACTTGAGCTATCAGCTTTAAATATCTTTTGAGCCTTGTCAGTAAAAGATGAGGAAATCAGTCTACTTATTTCAATCTACTTTTTCCTCCATCCCACTTTAACATTTGCCAATTACATTATTTTTACATTCTCTTCTGCAACCATAAAGCCTCAAATTTAAGACTCAGGCTTAAGGTAAAATCAATTAAATGCTCTCCATCAGTCCTTTTGCTATAGTTTCTCCATTTATTTCATTATTAATAGAAGTTTTTCCTCTAGTAGTTTCTTCAGGAAGGAGTCAGGGAGACCATATTCCCTGAGTTCTTACATATTGAAACATGTTTTTCTGTCACCTTTGTACTTAGCAGTTTGGATTGATAAACAATTATTTTCAGGTCACTCTTTTTTTCTTTTTTTTAAAAAACTGTGAACTACTACAGAAAAGTACATGAAACAACTGTTTGGTATAATATTTGATAAATAATCTCAAAGTGAACACCCCAGAATCCCCCTGTGTCTATTCTCTCTCACATCTCCTTCCTTCCCCTCAGTGATAACCACGTCCTTTTATGTTAATCAGTCCTTGCTTTCTTTATAGTGTTACTACTATGGATGCATCCCTAAACAATAGAAATCATTTTTGTCAGTTTCTGAAGTGTATATATATATATATATATATATATATATATATATAGAATTATGTAGTATCTACTCTTTTATTCTTTGCTTTTTTGCTCAACATGACATTTGTAAGATCCATTCACATTACTTTCAGCCTTACTCCATTTATTTACGTTGCTGTAAAGTATTCTATTATGTGAACACATGACAGTTTATTTCTCTGTTGATAGACACTTGGGTTGTTTCTAGTTTGAGGCTAAAAGGATCCATAATGCTATGGACACTTTTATATGTATCTCTTGATACACATATCTATATATTTCTCTAAAGATACATATTTGGGAGTGAAAAGACTGGGTCTTAGGGTATGCATATTTTGTTCGTCCTAGATACAGCCAAACATTTTTGAAGTGGTCGTATCTCTTTATACCCCTACCAGCAGTGTGTGAGAGTCCCGTGGGTCACTCTACTCTTGATTTGTGGTGTTGCTTCACTGTCTTGTAGTCCAAGTGGTCCTTCGGGGTAGGTGATATTCCAATTTTATAGGTGAGAAAGCATATTCAAAGTGGTCAGGTAATTCAATGCAAGTTTATAGAGGTAGTAGATGCCACAACTGGCATTTGAACTCTGTTCTCTCCAACTCTAAAGCCTTTCCGTGCTGCCTTCTTTACAGATAGAACTTCCTGACAGTCAGTTACGTAGGGCACTGAAACCTCACCAGGGAAGATGAACATTTTTGTTTTAAAGAGTAGGGTGCTATCCTTTGGCTTGGGTATAGTTGTTCTTGGAGGCAACCTGCTTCTCAAAGTCCCTTCCAATGTTGTGATTCAGGTGGTACTCACCCAACATATTTACTTTCCTGACAACTTGCTTCTTCCTTTTTTCCTTGCTTTTAGCATCCAGCCCGTGTATGGAGCACAGCACCCTCCTTTGGACCCTCGGCTCACCAAAAAGTAAGTCAAGATATTTTTCCTTTCATGCATGTACTTCTCCTAAAACCCCAAAACCCTCCCCTACTTTGTTGAAATGACAGTTTCCACTTGGACCTTTTCTGGCGTCTCCTCTGCTCTATTTTGGATCAGAAGATGAGCAATCTTCTTACCTCTAAGCAGTCCATTACTAAGTGGAAAATTAACTTACATCAGAGATTTTTTTCTTATATTGGAAGCTAGTATATGTAGGGGTTTGGTGTTGGATTCTCTGTTCTGTGAGAAGGTCTTTATTGATTAAGTATTGTCCTGAAATTGAATGATTGATGACCTTCTTCTGGTTTCTGGGGCCCATTGCTTCTGAGTATATATGTAGGTCTGCCCTCTTCCTTATTCTCTGAGAATTGAGGCAAATAGAACATAACTATGGGACTGACAGTTTTCAGGTCCTCTTTCTCTTTGACACACTCAAGGAAACCCAGCCAGACAATGGAGTTAAAAGCTCCCTGGAGACTATTTCTTTTTTTTCTTTTTTTTTTTTAATCCCACCCCACCCCCTGTCCTGAAGGCTATTTCTTCTAGTAAAATTCTAGTAAATTATTTTCTAACACAGCAGAGACTCTAGTTAAATCCAAGATGTGTGGGTGTGTATTTGTATCCCCAATTATCGCTTTATCACATCTTTCTCTCATAGGCCATCATTCAGCCACAATAAATTTAAATGAGGAGGTGGGTCGTCTTCTTGCATGTTCTAAGAACTTTTGCCTCTATCTTTGAGCAGGCTTAATCTTAGAGACTTATTTCTAGGAAAGTTGTTGCTTGTAATGAAAGCTGAATGATTTGAGAGGTACAGGAGACCTAGGTTCTCATCCTTCAGGGGCCTGTGTGATAATATCTACCCTTTCTTTCCTCATAGTCAACGGGGAAGTAAAGATAATGTACATTAAAATATTTTGAATACCTAGAAAAATACCTTATCAAATATGCATCATCAATATTTTAATATTCTTTTAATAACTTAATGTGTGGTGAACTTTCTATATTTCCACCAACTCATTCTTTTTGCAATTTGGCCAATGTGTAGAAGATACAGTCTTCTGAATTACTATAGAGGCATGACTGCTGTTCATTTCTGTAAAATGCACAATTTTTATATCAGGAACCGCTAGAGTGTAAGCTCTCTGTTCACCACTGTACCCTTAGCACCTAGACCAGCAGGTTGCACATATTAGGCACTGAGTAAATATTTTTGGAATGAAGGAATGAAGTCCCTGCCTTTACTTAGACAATGGGTTTTTCTTTAACGTTTCTTAGTATGTACCTTGTATTAGATCTTAAGGGGAAACATGTTTTCTGTGGTACTTTTGTGATATTTTCATTAAGTATAATGAATTTTATTTCCTCGTTTTACCATCCGTGGACTCTCTGGTCTGTTGGCCAGTGTAACAGGCACTGTTAATTACCTTCCCAGCAGTCTTTCCTGCACCTGCTTCTTCCTTGCTCAGGAACCACAGTTCTATTCAGTTCTTGAGCCAGTGACAGTGTACTTAGAGTAGGTATCTGGGTTAGTTTAAGCCTATTATAATAATTCCTTGGTAATACCAGTGACTGGTCTATGATGGGCTCATCTCATTGGTTCTGGCCAATGAGATGTAAAAGAAAGTCTCCTGAAGGAGGGTTCTTGGAAGGATTTTCTTTTTTTGACCAGAGAGAGAACATTTTGTGAAGAAAGCTGCATTTTGCCTCCACTCACATTTCCTGCTTTTCAATGCGTTAGTGTGAAAATGAGATGCGAAGGACTTCCCTGGTGGTGCAGTGATTAAGAATCCGCCTGCCAATGCAGGGGACACAGATTCGAGCCCTGGTCTGGGAAGATCCCACATGCCGCGGAGCAACTAAGCCCGTGCGCCACAACTACTGAGCCTGCGCTCTAGAGCCCACGAGCCACACTGCTGAACCTACATGCCACAACTACTGAAGCCTGTGCGCCTAGAGCCCATGCTCCTCAACAAGAGAAGCCACCACAATGAGAAGCCCGCACGCTGCAACGAAGAGTAGCCCCTGCTTGCCACAACTAGAGAAAGCCCACGCACAGCAATGAAAACCAAACGCAGCCAAAAATAAATAAATTAATTAATTAAAAAAAAAAAAAAAAGAAAATGAGATGCAAAGAACAGTAACAGTTAACTTGTACCCTGAGGGAAAGACAAGAGAATTGCAGAGACACCAGCTCAGTGCCCTGACATCGTGGTCTTTACAACTTAAGCGTCATAGTTGAGTATTCTGTTCCTTGTAGCCAGTTCTGTTCGCAGCCAGGATTTGTTGATTGGTAATAGATCCATTACAGCATAATTTATAATGGCGTTTGATAAACACATGGCTAATGTCTGCCATCCACCTGTATATAAGGCAGTGGGATGTACTATCCTATTTTATGTTTGGGTCAGAGTCACCATACCTTCTCTGCATCTGTCATCAACTGAGTTTTCCCTGATTCTGTATTTAGGGCAGGTCTTGAGGAATATCACCATATCCCAGACTGCCAAGGCAAACTTTATATACTCTTGTTTTTCCCACCTATTTTTAATTTATTTTTATGTTCATTTTTTGGCTACACCGCAGCACGCGGGATATTAGTTCCCTGACCAGGGATCAAACCCGCGCCCCCTGCAGTGGAAGCGTGGAGTCTTAACCACTGGACCGATAGGGAAGTCCCTTTTTCCCACCTATTAATGATATAAAACCATGAATGTTTCCACTGGTCATTCAGCAGAGTTGCATTCATACTTTCAGTAGAAGTAGTTATTTAGCTCTGCAATTTGGGAGGAATATAATTATCACTGAATAAATTGCATCCCTTTTTTGTGCATGTGGTGGTTTGGTATTACCACTCTACAATCTGGGACAACATCTAGGTCTGCACTGGACCATTTTACAATTCCAGATTGTTACAATAAAACATTTAATGCCCTTATTTGAGTACCTTTGTTGGGACATTTTTATTACTTTCTCCGCTACCTGATTACCGTTCCACTTCAAGCTACCATTAATTACTGTGTGGTTAATCCTCATTACAGCAGAAGCCTTTACATTGGGTCTTCAATCATCCAAACTGCACGAGCACAAGTCATTACCTGTCTGTGTATATTGACTTCCATTTGCCAAATTATTACCATTAGCGATAATATTGCCTGCAATAATTTTTATAGCTCAGATAAAACTAGTCTTACCGCAGAGCGGCCCCATTGGCCACTTGATGGTATGATAAACTTCTAAATTTATTGTTTTCTGACTTGATATCCTAGTTCTGAGTTATAAATCTAGTTCATGTGAAGCCACACTGGATTTAGCAAATTCCCCACTTGCTTCACACCCCTTTACCAGTGTCAAACGTTATTTTTCTAAATAAATTTGTGTTGTATTTCTATTAAGTGAACAGCCGTCTCAGTAAAACAACATAGTATTAATCAAATCACAGAATGATTGATCTTTCGTTTCCTAACCCATATAACAAACAAACTATAATTTGGCATACAGATGTAAGGAGGTATGGTGAAGGTGTCTATGCGAGGCCAGGTTGGTTGTAACTTTGATATAGTTCTGTTTAAGTAATTTTGGTTAAACTTCAAGCCACACTGTGGCATTATTGTGCCTCAGGTTAGTTATAGATTAGTTGGGACCATGTTAAAATTAGGCAGCCTATAAGCCAAAGGCACCCACAGCTAGAATTACCTGGATTAATATGTTACTGACACTCACCATGGCCCATCTCTTGGTGCGGTATTTTGTTTGTTTCTTTGTTTGCTTTTTAAATTTATTTATTATTATTTTCGGCTGCATTGGGTCTTCATTGCTGCACGTGGACTTTCTCCAGTTGTAGCGAGGGGGGCTACTCTTCGTTGCAGTGCACGGGCTTCTCATTGCCGTGGCTTCTCTTGCTGCAGAGCACGGACTCTAGAGCGCAGGCTCAGTAGTTGTGGCTCGTGGGCTTAGTTGCTCCGCGGCATGTGGGATCTTCCCAGACCAGGGCTTGAACCCAGGTCCCCTGCACTGGCAGGCAGATCCTTAACCACTGTGCCACCAGGGAAGTCCCTGGTGCAGTGTTTTGATCCACTCCAGGGTGTGCATATGCTTCACCCAATGTTAGACTAATAGCATCTAGTCAGTTCTTTGACCTGAGTTAAAATTCAGCTTCTTGATTTGTGGTTTATTTAAAGAATTCTTAAGACATCAGGAGGGTATTTAAGAAACATCAACCAAGGAAAAAAGAAATAACCTTGGCATCCAAAGTACTCTTTATCACTCCATTGGAATCGTCCTGTGCAATCTTGAGGTACACGTGGTCTCTAAGGAGGAAAACAATAACAATAGCTACATACTCCTATGCAGCATTTTTTTGATGGCAGATCTTTCTTACACCCACCTATTTGTTCTTGACAGTGAACCCACTGAGGTGAGTACTGCAGGTTGTAGATCCTGGATCTCCTTTCACAGAGGAGAAGCATAGTGATGACTCCAGAACATACAGCCTCAAGAGGTCTGCAGAGAAGTAATTTGCCTCTGGCTCATGGATGATTTTTTTTTTTTAATATTTCCAGATGCATTTTTTTTTTAAAAAAAT